TGCAGACAGTCACCAACTACTTCATCGTCAACCTGGCCATCGCCGACCTGCTGCTCAGCACCACCGTGCTGCCCTTCTCGGCCACCTTGGAGGTGCTGGGCTTCTGGGTGTTCGGGCGCATCTTCTGCAACATCTGGGCAGCGGTGGACGTGTTGTGCTGCTCCGCCTCCATCATGAGCCTGTGCATCATCTCCGTGGACAGGTACATCGGTGTCAAGTACTCCCTCAAGTACCCCACAATCATGACCGAGAGGAAGGCGGGGGTCATCCTCGTGGTGGTCTGGCTCTCGTCCATGGTCATCTCCATTGGGCCACTGCTGGGATGGAAGGAGCCGCCACCGCCAGATGAGAGCATCTGTAGCATCACAGAGGAGCCGGGTTATGCCCTCTTCTCCTCCCTCTTCTCCTTCTACCTGCCCCTCATGGTCATCCTGGTGATGTACTTCAGGATCTACGTGGTGGCCAGGCGGACCACCCGGAGCTTGGAGGCAGGGGTCAAGAAGGAGAGGAATAAATCTATGGAAGTGGTACTGCGCATCCACTGCCGCAGCGTGCTGGAGGAGCCTCTCTCCAGTACCCGGAGCAAGGGGCACAACTTCAGGAGCTCCCTCTCCGTGCGGCTCCTCAAGTTCTCCCGTGAGAAAAAAGCAGCCAAGACTCTCGCCATCGTCGTGGGTGTTTTCATCCTCTGCTGGTTCCCCTTCTTCTTCGTCCTGCCTTTTGGTAAGTGACCCCGTCCCCCATCCCAGCCCCACCGCCTGTGGCTGAACCCCTGGGGACCTGCTCCTTGGGATAAACTTCCAGGACACAACTCACACAACTCTGAGAGATAGGTAACTGATAGGTGAATAAACCAGCAATGAATTAATTCAATTAATTAACACGTATTCAATATTTATTAATCAGAGTCATATAATCAATCAAAGTAAATAGCAAATTAAAAAAAATGCAGCATAATAATTGGTTTAATTAATTCACTCTGCATTCAGCACTTTAATTAATGAAGTTCAGGCAGAGGAGGAAGCTGCTCTGTTTCAAACAGGCTGTAATTATGGCACAGTGGTCTCCAAACAGTTTTGCCGTCCTTGCCCCCAACCTCCCTTCCTCCCAGTTTGGGGGAAGGCGCCTGGTTCTGTGTGCTCAGGGCTCCCACCCCTGCTGTGAACTGGTGATGACGCTGGAGATGAGTGAGGTTTGAGCCCTCCAAGGAACATGTCAGAGTCTGAAACGTAAGTCCCACTAACTTCCTGCGATGCCAGTGTTGTGCAGGGACCTGGAGGAGGACCAGGTCTTACCTAGAAGGGTGGTGGTCCCGGGTGATTTCCCAGGACTGATCCACCTCTCGCAGGAGTCGTGCCCTCAGCTCCTGGCCCTGCCATGGTGCCCGTGGCACTGCGTGCTCATTTGGGGTTGTCTGATGGGTTGTGCTCTAAAGTTTGGCAAGATGTTTGCCCGGGTGAAAAGGCTGCAGCCCCCTGCGTGCAGAGGAGGCTGAATGGGCACAGAGCCCACCGGGCAGGGGGCCATGGGATGTCCAAGGCAACGTTCCCTGCCAGCACCAGTGCTGCCCACGGCCCATAAAGTGCAGGAAAGCCGGAGCTCTCCATCTCCACCTCATCTAACAATAGGCACCCAGTTCAGGAGACCAGATTAACCCTCTGGAGCAGTGTAGATAAACCTAGGGGGGGGGGGGTGGGTGAAAGATGAAAATAACTTCTGAATATTGATGATAGCCTTTGCACAGAGCTCAGCAAAGCAGAGGGGTCTGTCATTCCGTCTGCTGCCCCACAGCCCACTGGGGACGTGTGTCCAAGTAGCCTTGCAGCCAGGGAAACCCTATAGCTAGTTCTGCACTTTTTCTCAGGATGTTTCAAATCCTCTTGCTCGAGGCTGCCTCTCAAGTCAATGGAAACAGAGCATCGTGACCACAGGACTCATTTTGACCGGCGGAGGTTTTGATCTCCCTCCAGCATTGCAGCTCTCCCCGTGGGGACGGCTGGAGCCCAAGGCTGTTAGACACCTAACTGAGGCCGCTCAGTCCCCATCTGCCCTCCCGTGGGATTGTTCACCAGGACCAGCGGTGCCTTGGGAGCTGAGGTGTCCCGAGGGTGGTGGATCAGGGTGGTGGGTGTCTGGTCTCACCGTGCTGCTGTCTTGTAGCTCTTTGCTTCAGTTTCTCCCTCTGCGTGAGGGTGGTATTTGGTGAGTTTATCTCAGCTCTCCATAGGAGCAAAATTGCTGCTGTGAAGAGTTTTCACCTTATGTGAGCATGGGACTTCATGGTATAACTCAGGCAGGGAGCAGTAAGGGTGCAGTGAACTTCTCTCACTACAAGACCTGAGACTAATTATGCCGTCTGACCGTGCCTCAGTTTCCCTTTCATTTATCAGGAGCACTGGGGGATTTTTGTAGCCTGCAAATAAACAGTTTGGGAATTGTGGGGCTCAGGGAGATGCCAGTACCCGAAGGCTGAGCTCGCTGGGCAGCCCCCATCTCATACTCGCCTCCTTGGCCAATCAACAGGGCAGGAACCAGCTCCGAGCCCCGTTCACACCTTTACACCTTACAGCTAATGCAGCTGGTAATGGGGTTCCTGTTCCTCTGAGTTATTCCCAGTACTTGGAAATAGAGAACAAACATCAGGCAAATACTTTTCAGTAGAAAAAAATATTTTAGTTTAGTTTACCATATCTGTTCTCCCTTGAAACCCTTGAACCAGCTTCTCCACTGATGTAAATCACTACCCTTGCACTGAAGTCAAAGGAGGTACGCTGATTTACACCAGCTAAAAATCCAAACTTCATTCTTTAAGTACCTCCCGTGAACCCATTTGCTTCCTCCAAGCACACAACTTGCCAAGTTCTTTATAAACATGGCTTTGATCTTTACTTCCTGCTGTATTATACGTATAATATAAACATAGAAAAAGTTCATTTATTTTATGACTACAAAATATGCTGCCTTTGATTTCACCCCTGTTTTATTAATTCCAATTTCCTATTCAAATCTGAGAATCATTCACTGTTATCTAGAAGGAGAACAGAAACTTCTGCAAGGTCTAATCTCAGATTTTACAGCTCAGGAGACAGGTCTCAAACTCAAAGAAATCAGCAAAGTTCCCTGTAAATCCGCAAACTGAAACATGCTGAAACATGCTGAAACAATTCTCCTTGAAAAGAAGTTTGTAAATGGTTAAGTAGAATGGCTTTTTTATTTGCTTGTTAGACAAACTTACATGAAATAAGTTGGGGCCAACTGGAAATTATATTGATACACATTTTAAATGAAAATGAAACACTGGTGAGAAACAAAAATCACTTTCAATTGAAGTGAAATGTATTGTTTCAATTTCAGAAAAGACTGAATGGAAGTGTATTAAAAAATGAGTACTCAGATACATTTCGAAGTGAACCATCACATTAAAATGAAATGGGTATCTATTTTCTTCTGAAAATATGGAAATGTTTTGACTTTTTTTTCACGTGAATTTTCAAGAAGTTGTCATTGACTTACACTGTTGACTGTCTGTTGTCTGATTATACTTTTTAGGTATAAGTAAATTTGTCAACTGATAAAAGACTCCCAGCTCTACTTAGCATTGACTTAGCAATCAGAAACTTATGTACTGGCTCCGTCACCGGAGTCTGCACACATCTTTGCAACTCTCTGTAGAATAGTTTCCACGTTAGTTAGACAGGAATAGTATTTATCACATCAGTGTTGAGAAGCTGAAATAACCGATAATTTTAAATAACAGGACCTATGTGTGTGCCAAATGTTGTCAGCCATTTCTCCATGCTTGAATAGTCTACAAAGATTCTTCTTTAAATCAGCTCAAACTCCCCAATACCTACCTCTACAGTCTATTTATCAGCTGAGTAATTTAGCTCACTCTTGGATTTGTGATACATTTCCCCAAGCACAGGATGCCATCACCAGGAGTTTTAACACAATTAACAGTTTCTGTGGCTAATAAGACTCTTTAAGCAGCTGGTTGTTCAACAAGAGATGAAATCTTAATTACCCACATAACTCTTGTGTGGGTTGTATCTTTTGCTGGGTGTGCAGTAGAGCTCTACCAAGCTGCTTTGTCTGGGGTTCCTGGGAGGTGGTTGTGTGGTTTATGCTGGGGTGCCTCTTCCCTTAGCAAAGACCTGTCAAGAGAAAATAACTGGAGGCTTCTCAGAGATGTGGGCCAGGAGTTTAAGGGTGTTTTGTGGGATAGGATTCATCTCCCTTTGGTTGTCTCAGACATCTGTGCCTTCATCTCAGCTAGTCATACCATCATGGAGATGTTAGTTGGAAGGGACCTCCGAAGGTCCAACTTTCTCTAAGCAACACCATACCATACTCACCCAAAGCTCCCTTTATCTTTCCGAGGGGAGTGCCTCAAGGTGTGACTCGCCTGACCTATTTTGGACATCCTCCTTAGGATGAGACGAATTGTGGTGTCAATCTGCCTCTTCCTCTCCCTTGACTACAAAAGCAGCCAGGGGCAACTAACTAGCTGGTGGTGTCTGTGGTGCAGGTATTTGTAGAGAGGTGAGATGTATCATAGTCTGGATTTTTTTAAGTCTAATAGAAGCAAGATGCCCAGGTGAGAGAAAGATCAACCCTGTGACAGCTCAAGCCTTTATTAGAGGGAGAGAATAGACAGAGAAACTCTCTTTAAGTCACACAGCTATAGAGGCTTCACTGGCTCCTCTGCTAATGGAAAACCTTGCTAAAAGTTAGTTGCTGGATTTGGACTTGCAGGAGGGAATCTGTGCAATGGGTTAAGGAACCAGAACCCCCTATACAACACCTATAGGTAGGTAGTCACCTGCTTTCTCAAACCTGATGCAGGAGGAAGTAAGAATAGGAGGAGGGATGGACCCCTGCTCCCCATCCACTCTTCAGTGGCTGGGGAGCATGCAAAGACAATGTGGGACCCCAAATGGGACCACCTCGGGAGTGGAGGCAAAGACCTTCTCCATCACCACCCCAGAAGCATCTAAAAGGAAACACCCACCCCTTGGGATCAAGGATGCTCTAGCCAGTACCCAGGATGGCAATTTACACATCTCAATGGCCTTTGGTTTTTAAGAAGCATAGTCTCGTCTGGGTGGCGGGCTCCCATGTTTGTTATTCTTTGGATTTGTTTAGAAATCAAGACTGATGTGAGAAAGGCACAGCAGCACCCATAGCTAGTGCCACACAAGGGTGAAAGCCACAACCAAGGCTCCCTTCACGCTGTCCCTCCACAAGAAGCAGGTTACCCAGTCAAGGAATGACTTAAGAGATCCCTCAGCATGAGCAAAACACTCCATATTCATGGTCTTGTGTTTGCCTTGGGGTGGTGACTTGCCTGTGTTTGCAGTGGAAGCTGGTACTCGTTTCCAGCTATGATTCAGAAAAACAGTGTACTGTCTTTTTTACCTGTGTCCTGAAGGAAAGACAGCTGCCACACAAACCAGGCTTCAAAAGGTCTCCTTCAAGCCAAAACAAAAATATTTTTGTAGATGCTATTTTTCACAGGGCAGAATTGCTTTCACAGAACATTTTGCAGAAGACGGGCTAACAGAGGCATAGCAGTGCTCAAGCTTCAGTAACTGTCACTTGTGAAATAAATGATGGGGAAGACAATGTAGGTAGAAGCACATTTCAGATGAGACCAAGTCTGTTCTGGTAGAAGTGGAGAATCTAATTCTATTCTGGTAGAAGAGCATTTAGCATGGCTTCCT